TTTTACCTCGTGGAACATATGTTGAGGCATGAATAAGAATCAGACTGGTCCCTCTCAGCAGGCTTTGTAATGGTCTTTAGTTTAGTTTAGAAATCTAATGGATTTCATGCATTTTACAGATAAACTCTGAGTAATTTAAGTAGAGATGAAGAGTCCATCGCCTAGTGTTTTATCTAGGAAATCTCTCAAACCTAGTGCACTATCATATACATTCTTTGCAGTAGAGAAAAGGATAAAATCCGATTCCAGAGGAAGGATCCTGTGGTCTGCTCATCACTGCACCTTCCCTTGTCTCCAACCAACKTCCTATTTTGAACAGTCTCTAACTCTCTCAAGTCAAGTCTCTCCACAATGGTGTTTTCCCAGGTAATCTTGATCTGTTGCCTGAAGTAAGACCCCACAGTAAAGAAATGTGTGAACAAAACGTCGTTATATGTATCATTGTACCCTATAACACATGGCTGCTGCCCAAGGCTTTCCTCCCTCCCCACCCAATCTCTGCCTYCAGAATCTCATTCCGACCTTCCTGCTTCACCCTGCCTCCTCCCAAGCCTYTGCTCACCAGGCTTTGTTTTCATTCTGATTACCTCTGTCCATCCTGTGCCCGTTATCTCATCATTTCAAGCCCCTCTGTTAATTCTTTACTGTGAGGGTGGTGAGGCACTGGGGTTTCCCAGAGAAATTGTGGATGCGCCATCYCTGAAAATGTTCAAGGCCAGGCTGGATCAGGTTTTGAACAACCTGGCTTAGCGGAAARTGTCCCTGCCTATGGCAGCGGGGTTGGTACAAAGTGATTTTAAGGTACCCTCCAACGCAAACCATTACTCCAAAAATCCCTTGCTCAGGCTTTCCTCTATTGTTTGCCACCACGGGCTGTACGAGATAGATGTCTGCTGCATCTTCAGTTGCAGATTTTTGCCGCGATGTCCTCTTCCCTCCTCCTTTTTACCCACTCTGAACCGCACGGACACGTTAGCGCTCCTCGTGGGGTGTCCCCGAAAGCGCAGGCAGCCGAACAGACCGGGCAGCCCTCCCGGCCGCGGCGGGGCGGAGCGGWGCGGGCGGCGGTTCCGGCGGAAGGCGGCGGGGCCGGGCTGCCGTGTGGGGAGCTTCCCGCGGGGACGGTGCAGGACCGGGAACGCCGTGTCGGGAGCTTCCCGCGGGAACGGTGCAGGACCGGGAACGCCGTGTGCGGAGCTTCCCGCGGGGACGGTGCAGGACCGGGGCTGCGGTGTGAGGAGATTCCCGCGGGGACGGTGCAGGACCCGGGCTGCGGTGTGAGGAGATTCCCGCGGGGACGGTGCAGGATCCGGGAACGCCGTGTGCGGAGCTTCCCGCGGGGACAGCGCCGGACCCCGGCCGCGGTGTGGGGAGCTTCCCGCGGGAACGGTGCCGGACCGGGGCCGCGGTGTGGGGAGCTTCCCGTGGGGACGGTGCCGGACCGGGGCCGCGGTGTGGGGAGCTTCCCGCGGGGACGGTGCAGGACCGGGGCCGTGGTGTGAGAGAGCTTCCCGCGGGGACGGTGCAGGACCGGGAACGCCGTGTGCGGAGCTTCCCGCGGGAACGGTGCAGGACCGGGAACGCCGTGTGCGGAGCTTCCCGCGGGGACAGCGCCGGACCCCGGCCGCGGTGTGGGGAGCTTCCCGCGGGAACGGTGCCGGACCCGGGCCGCGGTGTGAGAGAGCTTCCCGCGGGGACGGTGCAGGACCCGGGCCGCGGTGTGAGAGAGCTTCCCGCGGGGACGGTGCCGGACCCCATCCGCGGTGTGGGGAGATTCCCGCGGGGACGCTGCAGGACTCTGACCCGGGCCGCGGTGTGGGGAGATTCCCGCGGGAACAGCGCCGGACCCCGGCCGCGGTGTGACGGAGCTTCCCGCGGGGACGGTGCAGGACCCCGGCCGCGGTGTGACGGAGCTTCCCGCGGGGATGGTGCAGGACCCGGACTGCAGGCTGGTGGCCGAGCTGCTGCTGCGGGCGGGGGCGGCCGGCGGCATCCTGTGCCTGTGTTCCCGCGCTTTCGTCGAGTGAGTAGCGCCGGGCGGGCCCCACGTGTCCTTGGCGTCCCGCTGCTGCGGGCGAGGGGTGCGAGCGGGGCGGGTTTTGCACGGAGGGACCCCCCTAGGTCACGTTTATCCCTGGCGGGGAGCAGAGCAGGGCGAGAGGAGCCCCCAGACCCCGATCCCGCCGCCCGGAGCCCGAGCCGGGGCTCGGCGCTCCCTCCCGGCCCCTTCCCGCTCCCCATCCGGAGGGCAACACCGCGGTTCCTCAGCGGGAGGAGGACCATGAAATTTAATTCCGGAGGGTACTGCGTAACTGCGGCGTTTTCTGAACGTCGCTCCTATGGGCTTTCACGTCAAGCTTTAATTCAAGTGTTGCCTTTTCCAGATGTTGTTTTTCATTTGTTTCGCGTGTCTGGAGTCACAGGGCAGCCCGTGTGGGAAGGGACCTGGAAAGGTCACTTGGTCCAGCCTTTCATGGGAACGGAGCCTAGAAGTGTTTAAATACCCCATGCAGTCTCATCTTGAAACCTCTAGTGATGGGAATTTTATTGCATCCCTGGGGAGGTTTTTTTCACTGAATGATTGTTTTTACTGTAAAAAAAGTTTCAGTGGTGACTTTCTGCATCAGTGTCTGTTTATTTTTACAGAGATCGAAAATTATATAAACTGGGATTAAAAGGATTTTATGTCAAAGATGACAATGACAGTACAGGTAAAGTAATACAACATACTATACAATGTGATGTGCAGTCATTCTTAAAGTGAGTTAAGTGTGGTTGGTTGTTTAAGTTGTTTCTATTTCTGCATTGTTTTTCAGTACTTTTGCTATAGGGATAGATGTGAATAATAATTTAACACGCATAGCTTTCAGGTTACCRTCATGTTGGTACAGAAGTTTGTGTCAGACCAGGAGCAGGGCTTATTCCTGTCCAGATAGACTTTACTAGCTCACATAATATTCCCCTGGTGCATGGAACAGATTGTATCACAGATCCCTGTCCTGGTTTTGAATCATAATATTGACTTAACTCAAAATTAATTGTRTAAGGAGAGTGTGTGGATCCCAGATGTTTGTCTCCTGCTGTCTTGGGTATGTGGATCCTAGAGGTTTCTCTCCTGCTGTCTCTACCCTGGCCTAGAATGCTAGCTKTTGCTAGTTAATCTGCTGAACCAGAAGTGCAGAAAAAACAATAGCACTGATGGGGAAAATTATGATTCGCATATRCACAATGAATCATATGAGGAGGACCAGAAAAATCTCTCACTTGACATGCTTGTAATCTAGGAATTATCATGGTGYATACTCCAACAAATTCAGCACCACTCCCTTACTCCATCCTCCTGAATTCCTCATGTTTGCTTACATGAACATAATTCTTTTGGTATCTATTTTTATCATTGCTGTATTGGTAGATCCGGGGGCATGATAGCTTGATTTGAAAGGAATTCTGAGCAGAAATAGAAGCTGACAATAGCACAGATTAGATGTAAGCAATGTGAGAGGAGTGAAAGAAGGAGATTGTAAASCATGGTTTTGTGCATATATCAGTGATTTGTGGTGAGAATAATTGGTTAAAAATGGAAGGGTCTCATGTTATGTGATAATTTGGCAGTAAATATACCCTGAACAACCAAACCAAAAATCATGAGCGTTTCAGTATTATCAACTGAGTCAAGATCTTTTGATTTCGTAATTTCCATCCATATACAGTTCCTGCTTTCTCAATAATATTTGTCATTTTATATACATATCTTGTTGCTCAGCAATATGATAGAAGTGCAAGCTTGCTGAGAAGGGCAGAGCTGGGCAAAGAGAAAGTATGAGGCTGTGCAAGYACTGCTTAGTAGCAGCCAGAATATCAGTGTGCTATTCACACTGTTTTAGCCACAAATCCCAAGCACAATGCCATAGGGGCTGCGGTAGAGAAAATTAACTCCTTTCCAGGCAGACCCAGTCCAGTGCTTTTGCTGTCAAAGATACATTTTGATTCCTACTGATAACTACACAGCAATTATGGTGTTTATGAGGAAGATTTTTAAATAAGAAGGGAAGCATAACAGGCAGTTCTCTTATTTTTTGTATGCCATGCTGTGGCGTTGAGGTATCAGAACCAGATTATAGTCATGTGATATAACTTGTTAACAGGGGACGAACAAGTGTCTGAGGAGGAAAACCATTGTTCCAATGGGAGATTAAGGGTGGATACTAATCATGCTCTGGACCTGGAAGAAGTTGAACTAGACTCAGAAGCTGAGCTTATGAAGAGCATGGGATTGCCTCTTCAGTTTGGTGGACAGCYAGCCCACAAGGACTTTGTGGTAAATCTTTACTTGCTTTATTTGTTCTGTTTATGTAGTGTTTCCAGACCTAGGGATGTGTTCCTCTCAGTTATTTTTGGGATGGCAGTTCATGGAAATGTTCTGAGTTGCCTTTAAGCTGCCTGCCTTGCAATCTGGTAACAGCACACAGCACCTTGTTCTGTCCTGTTTGTAAAACCCATCTGTCAGTTGGACTAAACAGGGTCAAGGCTGGTCTTTCTGCTTCCATATCTATACTGCTCTCCTGACCAAAGAGACCTAATTTAAAACATCCGTGGTAAAGCTGATGCTGCACATCAGGATAACCAGTACACTCCAGTCTGAGCATGCATTTTCATCCTGTCTGCTTTAACATTTAGCTTTTGATACTAATGTAAAAAACTAGTTTGTCAAATCCCCCTTGCAGCTGATAAAGCCAGGCTGTTCCAAAAGGCAGGAGTGAGGCTTTGGTGCTCTGCTTCCCATAGGGAGCATTTGGGCTTTAGAAAGGGCTTTAAGTATTCACAGATGAGAAAAAGACAGTGCACTATTCACTGTGTCCACTTTATGGAGTAAAGACCTCCAGTGAGACAATATTTTTGTGCAGACCACTGCATCATTCTGACCTGATTAATTYGTAAATAAATAGGAGAAACGTGTATGTGATTTAATAGCTTGTAAACAGACCAAGGCATCCAACTTTAGGCCCAAAGAATATGTAGTAATAKGCAAACAAGTTGAATGGGAAAATAATGCATTTTCTTACTAGATTACTACTAAGCATTGTGCTTTGGACTGTGTGTACTAACATGACATTATGACAGACATGGATGAAAGATTAGTGCCAGTTCTTCAGTTCTAACTTCTTCATAGTCCACCTTATGCTTTTGTCAGTCTAACAGAACTAGGGATTGCAGCTGTGGGACATTTGGAGTAATTTCTGTGCATTTACAGTCTTTTGGCCRTGTGAGTTTTGTCATCACAGGAAGCCCCCCTGAAACAAGTTRTAATTGGTGAAACCAGTAAGTTTCCTTAGTGTTCCTTTTGGTAACAGGTTTGTTCGACCTGACAGCTATAGTGGCTGAGCTTGCTGTAACAAGTGAAATGATTGTATTGCACAAATGAAAGGGTCGTCTGTTTGGAGGCTGTTGTTTCCTTGTATTTCTGTTAGCCAACTTGGAGATTAGTATGGGATGGAAAGGATATTGCTCCCTTCTTTTGAGTCAGTGTCTTTCTTCAAGACATGCAGGGATTCAACTGCAGGATTTACAGCAGTTTTGAGTATAAAGTGATGCTTTTTTTGATTCTTTGCACCCAGAAATAGCAAGGATTTAACACTGTATGAGGCTGAGCATTATGTTCACTATCCTWATGAGACACTGAACAGTGTTTGCTGGTCAGGAAGATACTGGGTGAAAGTAAGGGCCAGCCTCCACAGCCCCATAAAACAGATCCTTGATGTTACYAAGATACTGTTTGAGTATGAGGTGTTGAACTCAGCCCTGTGAGCCTTCAATTGCTGACCAACTTCCCCTTTAGGATTTTGTAGTGTTTCTTGTTGATGTCTCTCCTGAATCTTTGAGCTACTAATGACTTTCCTCTCAGCAGCCCCACTTCTGTCTGTAATTCTGCTTTTTTTTGTGTGTGTGTCTTTCTAGAGACTTTCTTACAGTTCTTTCTCACAACTTCCTTGGAAGTGTCAGTCAAGGTTATGTGGCATGGCCCTGTCAGGCCCAGAAACACTGCATCCTTTTTGGGGAGGAAGCTAACAGCAGGGTTGCACTGAGAGGGAGGGTTCCAATGGAAACAGAAATGTGATCAGAGAGAGGACAAAACTATATATGTTGTGGATTTACAACTGTGTTTTTCCTTTATCTTTTAGACAACAGAAAATTATAGAAAGAAAAATAACATGAAGATTATTAAAAAGAAAAAGAAGAAAAAAGTGCAAAAACACGAGGATAAAATGGGACAGGACGAAATTTGTGGTGATTGTATTGAGTCCATTTCTGGTGAGCTGGCGCTGGCTACAGAGCAATGTGAGAYGAGCAGCACACCTCAGACTGTAATTGAAGGAAACTGTGAAAGTTCAGAAAGCCTTGCAAATGAGGCTTTAGCCAGTGGACTTAAGGAAAAATGGGAGAACTACTGGAGTGAGTACGGAGAGGGCCTTCTGTGGCAAAGTTGGCTGGAAAAACACCGAGTGGTCTCCTTGTCTGAGGCCATCGCAACCTCTGAGCCTTGGAATAGTCCAGATACCAAGGAAGAATGGGAGCAGCATTATAGTGAACTGTACTGGTACTACTGGGAGCAGTTTCAGTACTGGACAAGTCAAGGATGGACTACTGAGAGCTCACMTGGTGACAAGGTGGAAGTTAATGGAGTTACAGAGGAGACTGGTCTTTTGGGAGAAATGGGCTTGGTTAGCCCAGGACCTGAGCATAGTGAAGAGCTGAGCTTGGAGCTGTSTCCCTCCAACACCAGAAGTGAGGGTGCTGAGCCCCACAGTGAAATAATCTCTGGGATTTGTAATTTAAATCTGAATTTGGGGGAAGTRGAGCAGAGCAGTGCTGCTCTAACAGTAGCCCATGAAGATCTTGAAGAGCACWTTTCATCTGACAGTGGAAGCCAGAAGGAGCCCTGTGATGGAGGAAGCAGGAAAAGGAGAGCATCTTGTGGRAATAAAAGTGTTAACCAGTCAGGTAATACAGAGTCAGATCAAGCTGATTGTCAGAGTTTCTCTGTGGTTATATGTAAGAAAYAAGGGCACATCTGTATTGTGCCATTTTTTAAAAGTCGATTAAGTATTTTGTGGAATGACTGCATACTTTATTCCTTTTTCTTCCCTGTTTCTTTGGATGATTTCTCATCTCTAATCTGTATATTGAATGTGCTCTTAAGCCAGAAGTGATTTTAACAGAACATGTACTTCATAAATCATCAAATGTACTACAGAAACCGATGAGAGATCACTGTTAGTGCATATTTAATTMTTTATCTTCTTTAACATTAATATTAATAATAAGAATGCATATTTAAGTAATTATCATATTTMATTTATTTACCTGAGACTCTGGAGTTTGCTGCTAGTGACTTTCTAAGGGATGAAGAAGCAGGTGCAGCCCCATCTTGATCCTACAGTAGCGTAGGAACGGGAGAGGTGAAAGAAAAATCTCCTTTCCAAAAAGAAATAAGAGGAGTATTTAAATCTTCTGTTATCGAATCTGTGTGAATATCTTTGCATAGGTRATGAGGTGGAAACAAAATTTTACACACAAGGAAGAAACTTCTTCAAATTTTGTGCCTTGTAGGCATTTTATTTTTCTTGGAGAGATGAGAATTTGAAGTTGGTCCTGCATAAGATTGTTAATGCTGCAGTGTAATACTGGAAGCTTTATTAGTATGTTGTCCTTCAGACAAAGACAAGATATGTGTTTGCCACACTAACTAGCTGTAGCTATAGGGGTATTTTGGGAACATGAAGATAAGGGATTGATTTATGCAGAAGGAAATGATGGTGTATCTTTTTTTTTAGGTGTGCAGGAGTCAGGTAGCTCAAATTCAAATGAAAAAAAACAGTCGCTGCCTCATGACCAAGATGAAGATGAGGGTGAAGAGCCTCCTGAATACAGATGTGTCAAAGTCAAGAGAAGGCAAGTAATGAAATTTACATGAGCTTTTTTCTCATGAAGTCCAGGTCCAGGAGCCTTTGGATTTATGCTRACTGTATCTTTGATTGAGGATGTCAGTTAAAATGTCAGTACAAAACCACAAAGTCTTCTATCACTCTTTATGGCTTTGCCTTACAACAAGCACTGGATATTTCCTCTCTTCTATTGCTTTATGTAAACTATTTGTGGCCTTGATGATTGTACAAGGTGATTGTTAAATTGCAAASGGCAGCTTGCTTGTTTAGGTCTAGTTAGTACAGACAATATCAAAACAACAGTAAATTGTATTGTTTAACTGAATATTGAATGTTGCCAGTAAAATGCCCAGAGCTGCAGCAGTCATAAAATAGCYAGTCATAGTTTTTTTCTTCATTTTTCAAAAATATATAGTCTCAAAGATGGTGATATGGCTCTTCCTCTCTAATAAATTTGCAAGTTCAAATGTGAAGGGGTGGGTGGAATTGTTGCCTGCTAATCATACAGCTTCATTTTGTTCTAGTATTTTTGCTGTTGCTGTAGCATTAATAATAGATARTAATATTGATAACTTGATAGATGATGTGGGTAAGTTAACAAGCACCATCTTCATCATGTAGGGCTTTATATTAAATATTTTAAGAGGTCATTCATAATAGTTAGAATGTTATAACCCTATAGAAGAGCATTTGTCAATAGAAATGGGTGAAAAGCAAACCAAACCARCTCAAAAAATCATGTATGTGAATAGACTGGTGTTATCTGCTTAGTTTGGTTTCAGCAGTGTGTGGAGGAACTTACTTGAAGCCCACATTTAAATGTTTTCAATACTTTCAGTGTTATAACTGTAAAATGTTTGGTTTTTTCACAGTAAGTAACTTTGTCATCTCTTTTTTTGTAGCCATGAGCTGGATGTGGATGAGAATCCAGAGGAAGATCCTGAGGAAGCCTGCTCTGTGCTGGGTTTCAAGTGTGGCACAGGACAAAAGTAATTACTTATGARGAACTATGGGGTTTTTCATAGCAAGTCAGCTCTCTTGTTATTATGGAAATAGACCATTCATCACCATTCCCTTTTTGTTAAACTTCTGAAAATGATTCCCGGAGTTAGTCTCTGCTACTAATAAAACTGTCATACTTTGACTAGAAAGAGATGCAGAGTTACAGAGAATAGTTAAAGAAAAGTGCTTTGGAGGAGAAGTGTAACACATAAGGTGCTTTCAGTTGTATAAATGTGAAGTGGGTAGTCAGCTACGTTAATTAGAGCTTAAAGGCTCCGACMGTGAATGGTCTTCTCACTTTGGAGTTCTGTGAGCTTAGATCATGATTTGTAAATACTAGTAAAATGTTGCCATATTAGTRCAGTGTTGCCAGGGTGTTGGCCAGTGAAATTTCATTTTTGGTGATATTGCCTGAAAATGTGGTGGTCACTGATGTAAAAGGAACATCATAGAACACAGGTGGGCTGTAACTTAGGTCTAGTCCTTCTGCAGCATGCAAGTTGTTTACTACATACCTGTTTCAAAGAGGAGTGTGTTTTATAGTTGATAATTTCTGTTCTATTTTATAATTGTTTAAGTGAATTGCCCATATTTCCTGGTTTGGAGGGGGGTGGTTTTTTAGTTGGTTTGGTTTTTTGTTGCATTTGCCAGAAGGTAAAGTAGCTGTTCTAGAGGCTCGCAACACCAGAAGATCTTTTATTCTGCTGATCAATTTTTTTTTTTTCATTTCCTATTCTTCAGGCTGGCCTGGGAAATTTTTGCAACTATTTACAAAATTTATGCAACTAATTACAAAAGAAAAATCCATAACTAATTAGGTGAAACATTTTGAAATAAATCTATTACTTATTTTCAGGTACGGTGGAATTCCAGATTTCACCCATCGAAGTGTGCAGTACTTGGAGAAGAAAGCAAAACTCAAGTCCAAATTGTTGGATATGCGTAAACCAAGGAGGAGCAAAAACACACACATCTTCTTTACAGAGGAACCTGAAATGACATGCAAAAAGAGCAAAACTTTGAAGAAGGTAGGTTTAGTTGTTAGCACTGCTGTAATTTATTAGATTTGTGAGATTTGTGTGCTCCCTTAGATGTTGTAKTATTATGAAAACAAAAAAAAATTAATTGCCCAGAGTAGGTGGCATTTCTAAGTATCAGTCCACTGCTCCTTTTTTTTTTGTTTGTTTGTTTTCTCCTCTTCCTCCCTGCGTCCCACCTGTGTGACAAGTATTTAGTTTAGAATGGCTATGGAAAGGCTTTGGTGGCAATCTGTCAAGAGGAATGTGAGCTTAAATGGCCAAGTTATGTGAAAGTTGTTCSTAACATCTGGATGCACATACCTTCAGAGATGTGTGTAGTTTTCTATTGTTACTCAAAGTATCTCTAATTTTAAATTGTATGTGAGGCCAGTCATAAAAGCTGGCATTTGAGCAGTAACAGAAAATCTTTGTGTAGGTTAGTGATACTTCATGTAACTCCATGTTGTTAGTATTTTTAAAAGGTTTTGTTTATACCTCTATCTTCATTTATATTCATCTGTAACTTTATGCTTTTTTTTTTTGACTCAGAAGTTAGTAAGTAGAAACACTTGTTCACTGGAGATTTTACTGAGTTTAGTCTTTTTGAAAATCTAACAGGACAGATTTTAATGTTATTTCACCTTCTTCTGGGATGCTTGGCATTCCCCAAAACCCAAGTGCAAAACACTGTGTTTTGGTGGTGACCATACATGTTGTATTGAACTCCAGTCCCACTGCTACAATTTTTGATTAATTTTTGGTCTTGTACCTGGGGCCATTATAGTTCAAGGGCAACTTTAATTATGTGAAGGAAAAAGTTACAAATTTCCTCCGACTTTCAGGTAAGAAACTGTTCCAGGTCTAGAGCTGCTTAGAGCAACCATAGTGTAAAAGGGAACATCTTCATATGCCTTTGAGGTGTTTGGAGTGGCATCTGCATGTTGGTTAGGAGCTTATGTCGAGGTCTGCTGTGCAGCAGAACACATTACTACATGCACCATTTGGTACATCTTGAAGGTGAGGCAACTAATATGTGRAGGTAATTTTACCTGTTTATGTTAAGAAGCTCTTCCCTGAGAGACAGAGAAAATCTCTGAATGCAGATTAGAGAAAGATAATTGTGARGTAGTAGACTTGGTCACCTGGGCTGTGGCAAGTCTGACTGTTTATATATCACATGAGAATGAGTTACTGTATTTAGCTGTCAATTTTTTGGTTGGTTAGGTTTTTTGTTTCTCTTTTGGAGGTAGCTGGCATCTAGTTCCCAAAGAAAGCTTGTTTCCAAATCTTTTTAAAAGGGAGTGCAGTTAAGGACTTCTTCAATGTTTYGAGTCTGGATATTTTACTGTTTTCAAAATACACGTGGTAGAGAGTGCCTGCAGTGGCAGGTGCTTTTGAACTRTGAGGTTTATAAGCTGTGCTCTGGRTAAGAGATCACCATCTGATCATCTGTGATACYTGACAATTGCAGGTGGAAATGTTCCTGAAGCAGGTTAGTAAACCTGAGGCGGAAGACACGTCCCGGACAGCCACGCCTCAGGGTAAAACAGAGACATTGTCTGTGACCAGCAGTGACTCAGAGGGTGAAGAAGGCGTTACTGCCACACAGAGTGCGAGGCTGGATGCTGAAATCCAAGAGCCACCGTCTTCCAGTGCAGCCTGCACAGAACCTGGAGGAAGCAAGCTTGAGAGAGAGCTGCAGGATGCTGCAGTGAGTGGCCCTGATGAGCAGGAGGCAGGGATGCCAGAGAATGGTGGTGGGCGGCAGCTTGTCCCTCTGGATATCCCAGATTATCTGCAGCCAGAGATGGAGGACGTCAGCCAAGGTAAATCAGTTTCCTTCAAAATGATTTATTCATAACTGATACCGGGGCATTAAATTGGTCTCTGATCCACTTGTTTGCTTGTTATACAGAGTTTATCATCTTCAGTTGAAGATTAAGGCTCTTAAATAATGGGTGAACTGTTACAATTTTTAGGACTGTGAATCATCTCTTGAAATACATGATGCTCTTTTTTAATTTAAAACCCATGATCTTCATAATCTGGCAAACAGTAACAGAGAACATTTAGCAGTGTTTTAAATCTTAACACTCACCTATCAATTGCATTCCTAGCCTACAAGAACAGTGACTGTTAACTTTTGCAGTGTCTTCCAGCTGTAGATGAAAATGTTTCTGCAAAGAAGGAGAAGCAAAGAAGAAGAAAGAGTAAAAGTGCATGGAGAGCTGTACCTCCTGAGATTGCTGCTGATCCAGAGCTGGTCAAGTACTGGGCCCAGCGCTATCGGCTCTTCTCTCGGTTTGATGAGGGAATTCAACTAGACAGAGGTGTGTCCATACCAAGTGTGCTGACTTGGTGGTCTGTGGCCCTTCTTGCAGTTTATTACTGGTTTTCTTAAAGCAGGAGCAGTACTGTGTGTGTGTTTGCACCCATGATAAATTCCATCCCCGCAGCAGGCAGGTGAACAGAAGTCTTGGGGTTTGGAAGTGCTTTTAGTGTGGGACACCCCTGTCTGCATTAGTCCTTACTTTCGCTGAAGGTCATGCTGGACCCAAATTATACTTGGTCAGGACTTTTTCAGAAACCTGATGATACTTTTCTATTTCTRTATTTTATAAAATAATTTTGTGAAACTTCTAAATACACTGATGGATCCAGTATCATTTTGTTTTGTTCTGAATTGCACCAGTCACTTGCAAAACAATGTTTTTCCATGTTTACTTGGAAACCAAATCATAAGTTTATAGGTAAAAGAGTAATTAGGATTACCAGGTATTTTTTGTTTGCTGGGTTTGTAAGCCTTTCATTTCTAATGCTTTCCCTCATAAGCATGCAGATTAATTGGCAGACCAGACACTGTGGTAAAGAAAATATGTTGGATAAGAGATAATACATTTCTGGTTTCATTTGTCACAGAGCATATTCATGATGTATAAAGTTTTTTACAGCTGTGCCAGTGGACTTGTCTTTGAAAACTAGAATCCTCAGCACCAAGTTTAACAAAGCATGTACTGCGATTGARGCATATCAGTTTGCCTTAGTGAGACTTTGTTTGCTTAACAAATCTCTGGACAGAGCAGCATTTATCATCTTCAAAGCCAGTATTTCCTGGTTGAATGCACTAAGCCAAAATTCTTGGGATTAATGCTAAACCTTCCTTTTTATGTGGGGCTTGGTTGTTTGTTTTTAAATTAGGTGACCTGGAAATAAGAGGTGAAAATACATTTGTTCCTCTTCCTTTGCAGAGGGCTGGTTTTCTGTTACTCCTGAGAAAATAGCGAAGCATATTGCCATCCGTGTTAGCCAGGCATTCAACTGCGACATCATAGTGGATGCGTTCTGTGGGGTTGGAGGAAATGCTATTCAGTTTGCGCTGACCTCAAAAAAAGGTAAGTAGGTATTGTATACAGCACATCATTTCCTTTCTTCAGCCTTTTTCTGGAAAGTATTTGGCTGTGTGCTTTGTTTGTTGATTTATCTTCTTTTCAACTGCTTCTGTAGCAGCAGCAGCTGCTTTGCTTCATCAGACTCACTGTATGACCTCTCTGTTTTCAAAAAGAGTCTATAAAACTGCTTTTCTATTTTAAGTCAGAGTTGGATTTGTGTTGTACTAGTCAATGTTATTTTTATGTGGCATAGTATCTGCTTTGTCAGATGCTCTGGAGATCGCTGGTAAAAGTGGACTTCTGTCAAAGCTGCAGCTTTTCCYGGTTGTTGCATGAAGTCTTGAGTCTGTACTCAAAAGCAGGTTACATGCGAACAGTTATTAAGAATGGAATCACCTATAGATGCAGSAGAACCAGATACAGAAAAGTGGTGATAACTTCATGTTAATCYATTGCCAGCTAATGAAATTGTAGTGAAATGTTAGAGTGTAAAAACATTTCCTGCTGGATATTCATGTCAGTTCATCTAACTCTTCTGAGTAACRTTTAAGCAAGACAAATGGTAGTTTCTACTGCATTAAATTTGGTAGACTGTGATCCGATCTGTAAATATCACTTGGCTTTTTTTATTTTCTGGCTAAATTTTAATTTCTATTATTATGTACTRTTGTATCATCTCTGTTGGGCTATGTTGATAGGGGTTTTTTAAGTTCAACTTTCAGCAGTGTGAGCAGCCACAGATAAATGTTTCTCTTTAACAAAAGAGAAGAGCATGTTTCCAGTTGACATACTGAAATTGTCAGGCTCCTGCCAAAACTGAGGCAAGAAGGCCTTCCTCTCTCGGGCAGAGAGTGCCATGTGCCGTCCTTGAGCTGAGAGGCGGGATTGTCACAGCAGTCGGTGTGTGACTGCGGTGACCTGTGGATGGTGGGGTGGCATTCCCGGTTCCCACTAATCGGTGCGTTTGCCGTCCCTGGTGGGCAGTGATYGCCATCGACATCGATCCCGAGAAGGTGCGGCTGGCGCGCCACAACGCCGAGGTGTACGGCGTGGCCGAGCACATCGATTTCCTGTGCGGGGACTTCATGCTGCTGGCAGCCGGCCTGCGCGCTGATGTGGTGTTCCTCAGCCCGCCCTGGGGGGGACCCGACTACGCCACCGCCGAAATCTTCGACATCCAGACCATGATTTCCCTTGATGGATATCCTTCCCAAGTTGTGCCTTGTGGTGGTGTCATTTCTTTCTTCTCCTTCCTCTCTTCCCTCGGGGTTTGCATGTCCAGTTGGATGACTGTGACCAGCAGCTGGAGTTCCAGATCCACCACATTTGTTTAGTCCTTTTTCCCCAGCTTCAACTATATCACTTTGACCACCTAAATTTAAATATTTTTATTTCCAAAAAAAACAGTTATTCCCAAAAATAAAAAAAAAAAAAACCATTAGAATTGAGTAGCTTCTCAGCTTAAAACATTAATTAAGCAGTTTCAACTCCTTTATATTATTTTATTAAAATACCCCAAAGTAATCAAATAGATATGTGGTGTGTATATGTGTAGATTATAACTAGTTGTGTGAGCTATGACCTTGTCATTAATTCCGCTTTTTAATTGATTTATAAAGGGAATATCTTACTTAAAATATCTTACTAAAACTGTTCTCAATCATAGCACCTGCGTGTGACTTGGGAAATCACAGGAGAGAGGAAGGAAGATATTATCCTTTTTAATTAATGTATAGATTTCCCTACTAACTTACTAACAGTGATATTGAGCACTCATTTGTCTGGAAACGTATTTGCATGATAGTTTAATTGTATATGAAGTGGGGTTTTTGTCCCAGAATAACCTAATTTGTTCCCTTCTTTTGCTAAAATGTAGCCATATATGTAAGAGTAAGAAAACCTTTGTATGCATATGTGAGAGATTCCACAAAATGGATTAAAAAACAAATATAAACCAAATGTATTAGCTACCAACTACATAGAAATACCTGACATACTTCTCTGAAGTTTGGTTAAATTTTCATAAAAAGTTAGTGTTGGGGTCTTTTTTTAGTTTCTAGGGCATTATTGGTGAAATAGAGTTWCTGCATTTAGACAGTAATAATTTCTGCATTTCAAAAGAGAATCCTATTCACACATTCAGAAGACTAACTAATTTAATTGGATAATGGCTGAGTTTGAGACATACTTTCAAAATGAATGAATATAAAGAAACTTTTCATTGTTCATTCTTATTTTTTCCTTTACTGGCTTCCACATTTGAAATTTTCAGGCTCTCCAAGAAGATCACCAACAATATTGTGTATTTTCTGCCTCGGAATGTTGATATTAACCAGGTATGTTGCTGRATRAGTCTTGGTAGTGAACAAAATGCTCAGCTGACTCGAAACAAATATTATAAGCACATGCACAAGACTTTTTAGGCTGTTCAGCTGAATGTGAGGTATTTGGGATTTAAATTTTGACCCTGGTGTTAAGTGATTTCTGTGTGTGCAGTACTTTTGGTACATTTACAAATGGGAGTAGAAGCTTCTTTCCATGATTTTGACACTGTTTCTTCTTAAAGCAGCAGAATGGAGTTTCTTTGAAAGTTCCAAAGCCAATTGGCAGACACATACATCATTATAAAAATAACAAAAACCAATATATTTTAACCAGCTCTTACYATCTGATAAGCTGGTGAGTTTCTGATGTTCATGGCTTTCAGTTTATGAAGGACTTGCAGGAAATGAGAGCCTGCAGTCACTGCTCTCACTGATGAATAGATCAGACACAAATGCCATGCCACCAGGGTGGTACTGATGGTGTCCACACAGGTGTGTGGTTCTGTATGGGCTGCTTGCATTGCARTGATTTGTGATAAATGCAAAATTTGTGGCCCTGGTGTGGGTTTTTTTATATTAGAGATTTTTGGTAGGTTTTTTTTTTTAAGTAGTTATATGACTGACAATTCCCCTGAGTGTCTGGTTTTGTTTCCTCTGCATATTTTCTGTGTTAAAATTATGTCTTGTCATTTTTTGCAAAGAAGGGAGCAGTTCTCACCTGCAACATGCCACTAATGTCACAGGATTCTTTTCTAAAACCTGTATCTGACTTAGAGCAGGCAGGGTGTCAAGCCATATGGTGTTTTGTGGAATTGTTGGTGGCAAACAGCTGGCTTGAGAAATAGGCTGAAATTCACATGGCCTGAATATTAGCACATTCAAGCCCATACTATGCAGAGCACCATTGCTATGGCAGGTGATGTTTCAATTCCTTTTTGCATTTCAGGCTGCTGAAATGTCAAAGTGGTTTACCTCAATATTAGGTAGTTTCTCTAATTTCAACTTCTTGCCACTGCATTTTATCTAATGCTTCACTCCCATGAGGAAGAGTGACCTTACCAGTTTTCTGCTCTGTTCATGAGCACTTTTTGCTGGATTTATAAAACACCAAAGGCATCTACATTTCACTTGTGTTTCCACAAAAGCATCCAAGAATACTCCCACAGGCCTGCACCTTTTCCTACAGAAGAGCTCAGCTCATCCATGTGATTGGGCCAAGTGCTAATGTCAACACCTTGGTGCAATTGGCTCTGAATGACATTGATTACATCCATGGGTTTGGCTTTGCACAGATGGCTGAAAGGTAGCAAACGTTGCTCAAAGCCATGGCTCACTTGTTAAAAGCACATAGCTGAAGTCCTGGGTTTAGTTCGGTTCATTGTTCCAGGTATGGGCTATCTCAGGAAGATAAATCAGCTCCTCGTGCCTTTCTTTAGAAATTGTGTCATTGTAAGGAAAAAATCTCTGAAGACTGATGATCTGAGAGAGGGAAAGAGAATGTGAATCWAGCCCATTGTTTGGGGAAATGTCCTCATCCTGTGAGGACAAAGATGTGTCAAACAATGACTGTTCCAAACCTGACCTTGRTGGGTACTCTGGTCCATAGGAGACTGGTTATGGGTTTGGCTACCAAAATCTCTGCCAGTATTCAAGAATGAAGTTTCTGGATTTACTGCCATTACAATTCCWGGGCTGTGGATCTCCAGCAAAATTAAAAATACAGAAGTCCAGCAGTTCGAAGCAACCTTGCAAAAAAACACCATTTAGCTATTAGTTAAGGTGGTTCAAGTTTAGTGGAAAGTATATACTTTTTATGGAGATAGCTATTAGATCACTGTTAAATAGCTAACATAGAATAGGAATATAGGGATCCTGCTAYTGGAGTGAAAGCAGGTGGTAGCTGACCTTGACTTAGCTGTGTCAGAGAACTTGGTGTTCATTGCCTTATTGTTGGTCAAGGTATCCAGCCTTGTTCCACATGATTTCATTGCAAAAATAGCACTTATTACTTCTGCAGGCATGGCCACTTCCGTGTACAGTTGGTCTTGTAGAGAGAAATGGGATTCTTTGAATTCCCTTAAAAAAAAATCAATGGAGTTTAAGTCAAAGAGAAGTGAACTTTTGTACTTCTGCCTCGAGAGGGAGCAGCGAACCAGTGCAATATKGTTGGTACGTTTACAAGAAATGTAAAAACATTTCCCTGAATTGCATCAAATCTCCTTGTTTACAAACAGGTACTTGTTAGAAAATTTGTAATGTATGCAGGTCTGTTTTTAGGTTGAATTGATCATTCACAATATTCTTTCTAGTTAGGAATAATCAGGGATAATATACGTATATGGGCACGTACATTAAAAAAAAATGTATGTTTATTATTGCCTGTTACGTAGTTCATAAATATAATTTATCAAATGTTTAGCAAGTTGTGTTCCACTTCATTGGGCAGAGTGGAAAGTGTGTACTCACCTCTGGTAGTCCAATATCTTTCACAAACTCTTTCCTGTACCAAGTAATACTTCTGTATCTTAGTATTTGCAGCAAAGAAGGAGGAGCCTGTGATTTATTGCTGTAGGACCTTCTTGCTAATGAAATGAGGAATCTCTTCCTCTCATATTATTGTAGAAGTTGTACTCAGTTGCTGTTGGTCTCTCACTGGTGGGCAGAATGTTGTCAGGATGTGTGATGGCTCCTCCCAGTCAGCTGGTGAGCCTGAAATGTCAATGACCTGGTGTGTTGTGAGACAGATGACCATATCAGTGTCTTTACCAGCCTAGCCAGGTTTGAGAGATGGAGTCATGAGGAATTTGGGGTTTATCACTTATCGCATCTGTGTATGGTTAGTGGGTCAGATACTGGATTGTGCCTTAGTGATTGTTTAAAACATCACCATTCTTTTGAAGACAGGCAYGCTGTTATTTGTGGTAGCTATGCCTAATTTTGTGAAATTGTACTGTTGTTGGAGCTTTTGCTGTCCTAGATGTTAGTGATTCAGACCTGGCTTATAGTCCAAATACTGCCAGAATGCAGGAATGGCTTTTTGTTTCTAGTCTAGCCTAGAGTGGTTCCATGAGCCTAGAATTTGACAAAGTGTTCTGGACCTTGAYAGTCCTACATRAAATGCACATTATGCTGGTACTTTSCTTTTTTTCTTGTCTTTGTTCCTACCTCATCTCAATCAATTATTTGGAGAAAATCAGGAGTTTGACACAGAAGCCTTGTTCTGTCTGCAGTACTGCCTGGATGGAAAAACRTTTGCTGTGTTTGTGAAGGTCCAGTTGTTAAAAATGACTGCTCGATGAAAGGAGTGTAAAGAGAGGTAAAAACCATTTATGTATTTGAATTCTCTCCTTTAGCTGTGATTTTACACTGGGGACCTAGCCAAACGGGACCTCCAGGCAGAGTCATCTTTATTTAGGAGCAAATAGAACAATGAGCAAGAGGGGAGTGAGAGGCCAGGAAATGAACAGAGGTTAATTTGTAGTATTTTTTTAAGATTCTTGGGTATTAGGGGAGTTGGCAGGGAAAAAGCTGTGGTTTGCTGTGTTTTGCAGACTGATAATTTCTAAATGAGTGTAATTGCATACCCTTCAGCTGTGACTGTTGTGTTGATGACAATAGCTTTTAAGCAGCCCACTTTAAACTCTGTGTGACTCTGTCTTTGATAAAAGAGAAAGCCAGAAGTTACCCACACGAAGCCCAGAGTGATATTTCTGGTCTTCAGTCTTCCTRAAGCTCACAGTGCCTGAATACTGAATTGCAGTTTGCCTAAATGAAGTTAGAAAAAAAAGAAATAAATGTGTGGCCTGTCAAAAGGTGGCAGCACCACTGTGACAGTGGCATAATTCACCTGCATATCTGTACATTTTCAAAAATGCTGCCTGAGAGTGATTTATTTTATGATGTGCAGTGTAAAGAATACCACTGCCTTCTTTTTCAAGTGGATTGGGTTTTATCCGCCTTTAGCTTTTAGGTGGATCCAGTGGGAGGGGAKTCTTCATTTTAGTGGTGTTCTGTAAAATTAATTGTTTCACAGTGTCCTTGTGTGACTGCCTATCAAATGAAAAAGTTTGTATTTCTCATACCTTAGAAAGGTTTCTAGGAGGGGAGAAAGAAATGTGATACATTTTTTGTCCATGGTTATGTTAATAGATGGCTGGAACAGATAGGATGTTACTTCACTAAAGGAATTTCATTATGACTAAGAAATAATTTTAAAAAAAGCCAAACCCACATGCCTAGTAGGAAAACCTTCAAGTTCAAAAATATCCCTGAAGAATGTAAGGGAGGTTTGCACCGCAAGCAACTTGTGCTCCTGAAATAATCTTCTATGTTTGTTTCACTTTTTATATTTTCATCTTTTCTTCTGTCTCCTTTCCAAACCTGTTGGCTACTTTTTTACTGTATTATGGTGTGGCTGTAGGTGTGAACTTTTTAACTGATGGATGAGGTGAGAGGGATTCAGGGAGGTGTTAACTGAAGCTGCATCCTTTTCCTCTGCCTTGGGGCTGCAGCACAGCAAAGGAGGCAATATGTGTCCACCCAAGTAATGTGGGTTTGGGCTAAAGAGTAAGGACAACTAGAGTTGCCAGCAGGCAATCATTGTATGTACACAAGAAAATGCAAAATAAAGAAATTTTGGACTAATCAAGTTTTTAAAAGAAATTGGGAAGCCWTTGTGTATTCACCGTTGGAGTGCACTGCAAAAACAGGAGATGTTTGTCAGTATCTCTAAAAATAGGTGAGCACCTTTGTTTTTCTCAAAGCATCATTCCTCAGCCTGCTGTTATTTTTAGAGGGTGTCCCTCTGCCAGGCCAGCACCCTTCTGAACTCGGTGTGTGGCAGCTTTCCCTCACTACACAGTCAGGGTTGACTAAGCCATGCCGAGGAAAACTTGGCACCTCCTACGTAATTAAATTTGCCACCTCCAGCAATTTACAAATAAGCATTGTCACAGAGGATTTGCATTTCTCTCCTCTGAATATTGGGTGGGTTAAAGAGCGTACAGTACCAGATCTGTCCCTGCAGAGCTTAYGCTCATGGGTTTATTTAAATTTTTGTCACCTTTGGGTTTACCACGTACTTTTAGTCATTGTTTGAAATTAGTCATGATTATCCTGGATCTAACACTTAGAGACCAGACACGGCATATGTAAATTMTCACAGCTGTCCTACACCGTTGGACATCTTGTTTTACTTGGTCTTCTAAGAGGAATATTTARTAAACACTAGTGTTTAATATCAATGCATTAGTCATACTTAAATGTGCTAGTGACAGAAACTGTGCCCAGAAAGCAGGAATGCATAACCCCAAGAGARTTACTTCAATATTCTTATATTGACTAATCCAGTTAATATTTTAGAAYACTGAAGTGACATCCACTATAAAGTGCAAAGCCTCTTAATGCTTTTTGGAAGGGACAATCTAGCTTTTGTTTGTAAAAAACTAAAAGTTAATATCTTCCTAGAAAAACTATGGATCACCCCACAATGCTTTTCAGATTTCAAGTAAGAGCAGATAAGTTGTAAAATTAACATTCCTGATCACTTGCCAATTTCAGATTCTTGTGCTATTTATAAGTCAGCCAGCCTCTGKTTTTTTACTTAAGTGGCAAGTGACAAGAACGTGGAGCATTTTTTCCTATCACCAGAGGTTGAAGAAATCATGCACACTTTTGGTTTTGTCTGCAGAAACAAAAAAAAAAATCAAAAGGGAGAAAATAAAACCAAAACAGGAAAGTAAATCCTTGATTTAGATAAGTGTGGCAGTTTTCTGGGCAAGTCAGTAATGGTGCAAAGTKTAATTTAAATTAATCTGCTATTTCCTCCTGATAGAAGGCTGGTTTTTCACTCACAGTAGAATAGAGGAAGTTCAGCATGTTTATATTTAAACCTGCACGATAGAGTCAAGTCTCACGGGGGTTTAGAAGTGTTAATAACACAGTATGAACTTAAAGTTTCAGCTGCTAACATCATCTTAATTTAAAGATCAGTTAAAGTCTGCTGCAAGCTTGTAGACCTCAATCACTTCATGTCTGCCCAGAAAGTTTCCCTGCATAGGGAACTGGAGAAGTAATTTTCCTGCAGCAGCCTGGGAACATGGCAGCACGGAGCAGAGCTRGCTGTGGAGCATTGACCCCCCACAGGACAGGTCCTCAGGGTCCAAAGTGGAGGGGAAGAAAGCAGACAATGCTCAGTTTTGGTGTTCTTCCTTCTGTCTGTGTGGTCTCTCCAGATGAGGAGTTGGTGGCCTGTTGGCTGCTATCCCTCAGAGGCATTGTATGAGAGCAGGAGAAGGGAGAGCATTGCGTGCTCCAGTCCAAACTGCAAAGTGCACTGAGAAACGTGGTCTATGTGGGATTGTTGAGCATTAAAGGTGTGCACCGGCCTCAGTCAGCAGAGCGTGAATGGTGAAATTCTCACTSCAGTGATCATAAACACAGAGCTGGGACCAGGGCTGCCTGGCAGGCTCCCCCAGCCTGCAGAGGCACTGCTGCCCCAGCCTTAYCTTCCGTGCTGCCTGTGACTCCAATGCCCACAACAGCTTTTTCTTTGGTTGCAATAGCAACTCTGACTATTTTTTGTGAGATTCTCWGCCTGTTGGCAGTTGGTTTTGTTTGTGTTGTTCCCCTCCACCCTGCTACTCTTCAGTGCTACCTTTATGCATCCTAATTCTAATTGCTAAAGTTGGTTTTACTCTTCCCCCAACTTTTGGAATGTGACATCTTTCAAGCACACTTTACAAGTTTTTGCCACAACTGGCTGTCTCAATTGGCCAAGTACCCTGCAAGCCAGAGTTTAGCGTCTCTTGCCTCAGCACAGCATGTCAARTTCTGAGTATTCCTCTTTGGGTCTGAGGTCCCCTTATTTTCGTGATTTGGGTGAGGAGGGTTTTTCAGTCGCAAGCCACAAAGCACTTCTGTGAGTAAGAGGAGACAAAAGGTGGATCCGAGCCATTAACTGCCAAGGAACGTTTTCCACAGGTGTTAACAGAGCAGAGAGGTGGTTTTTGTGATTGCTTGTGAGAATTAAAAGGTTTGGAGATTTTCCTGTACATTGATTGGTTTACTTTTTGTTCTTTGTTTTTCAGGTGGCTTCCTTAGCAGGGCCAGGAGGGAAAGTTGAAATAGAACAAAATTTTCTCAATAACAAACTGAAGACAATAACAGCTTATTTTGGTGATTTAATAAGGCATGACATCTCCTGAACTCCATGTGGATTCTTCCAAACCAGCATCCCTGACTGCTGCTTTGCTTAAACTTTTATACAGCTGGCTGGTCAAAAATGACTTRAAGCCATTTTCCGGTTTAATTTCTGTTTACAGAAAGTTGTTCTGTTTATTGCTACTGTCAATAAATGTTTTATAATAATTTTGACAAAACTGTAAAGGTAGAAAAGCTGTGAATGTATGAAGAAAGACCTTTATAAAATGCAGTCTCACAAGGTTCGAACCCAGCCCATGGAGGGGGGATTCAGGATTTCTTTGTAACTCTCACAAAGTTGCTACTTCTGTGCTTGCTCTGGCTTTGAGCATCTGGAGGGTCAAGAATAGCCTAAAAGCCACTGGGGTCAAGAGCTSCTGTCTGTGCTTGAGAAGCAAAAGCATCTGAACCTCAGGTGGAACTAAAAGGTCAGGTGCACCACAAGAAGTTGACCTCAGTCTATTTCTCTCATTGCATACTCACTGAGAAACMTTTTCAAGTTTTCTCTGCAGGATGAAGGTTCACATGTTAGTGCCAGTGAGTGCTCTGGATTGWTGCAGCTCAAAGAGAGAGATAGGTGTGTTTGTGTCTGGTAGGTGGAACTCTACCCTCTGGATGTTGTCATTTTATTTTGTTTTTTATCTCCTTGCCATTCTTTTTYGTTGCAAAGACATTTTGAAGAAACCTTCTGCCTGAGGTTTGTATCAGTGTGCAGAGGGGTTTCTGTCTTCCCTCTTTTCTTGGCCTTTTGGATCCTCACACAGGCTTCAGGGAGGGCAGAAGGAACCCAGCTTTTCCTGGTGAGGGCTCTCTGCTCCCACTTGTAGTTTGGAGGGGAGGAGTGGCCTTTGTGCAGTTCTGCAAGCAGAAGAGGAGGCAGAAATGTCTAGGGAAATACTTTTACATTAAGTCCCCAAGCTCAATGTTGAGCTTGTTTTTGAGGTGAAAGTGTAGGAATATTAATTTCTAACATAAAATAATGCTGCTTCTCTGCTTTGAGTGCAGAAGGATGCTGAAGGCACCAGAAGCTAACCACTAAAATATGCATTAGTGTTATCCAAGAAAACTAGAATAACTGTAGAATAAACAAATAAGAGGATCTATCTTCCCCATTRAGGAATGAAATCCAACTCTTCAAAACAGTTGAGAGACCGAAGTGTTCATGTGTGTATGGATTGTTATGACTTGGTACAAGCTTGCAGTGCAGTAAAACATCACTTAGAAAATAGCTTTTTTCTACCTATGCTGTCTGTCTAGAACCAGACAAGTGCTACACTGTTGCTGTTACATCCATGCATCATGTAAGGTATTTCATGAAAATCATTTAGCTAATTTGGATCACTGCATTTTGCCACAGTGCTTCAGCAGGGAARAAGTCTTTTGACTGGCTCTGCATCAGTACTTAAAGGTAATTACTAAGGAAATCATATTTCTTTGAAGGTTCCTATTGGATCATAGGGGAGCTTGGCAAGAGTGCTAATATTACAGGAGCTCTAAACATACTGTGGTAGTGCCATGTGAATCTAATAATGCTGTTAAATTTTCACTACAAGCTTCAAACAAAAATCCAAGAAAGTCACAAGGCTGAATGAAGAATAGATTGATTTATACTGTGTATGTCACAGTACTCTGTACACTATAATTTTACTATATTTGGCTTCCTGCTGCTTGTAGAAATACCCTTGTCTTATCCTCCTAAARTTAAGGAGATGCTTTAGAAGCATTTTGAGGTCTTGCTGATGCTWCTCCCATAAAACGAAACTGAGGGTGAAAGTTCTGTGAATTTATTTTTACCTTCCAGAAAGTAGTTAGATTTTGTTCAGTGCCCAGTACACAAAATGTGGAAGCTTAAATATAGACAGTACAACACTTACCCRTTTTAATGTTTTCTTTCAGTAGAACGAACTTAGTGGTAAAAAAGAACAATTTCTGAAAGCTCTGCTGAGCTTTGCAAACATATGAAATATCAGAAGCAGAAGAATATCTTTGTTCATGCTGTTCCTCTCTCTAACCAAGATGGACAAAAGGACTCTTTTTTTTTCTTTTTTTTTTTTAATCCAGCTTGAAGTCAGAATACACTGTGGGGTTGTGATAAATGTTTGCCCTCACTTCCCACTTGCACAGAACTGGTGAAGTTCCCCAGGGCTTTGAATCTACCAGTCTGTTAAGCCTAAAATACATCTGTGAGTACTTTTCATTGTTCGTTAATCATTTTAACCAACAAACACTTCATGGAGGGCAACTTCAGTCATGATGAGTTGCTATAAAATGTTATTTTGCTTTATATTGCAGAAAAGAAGTTAACATRGGCTGAGACACTGTTAAGTTTCTGGACAGCTCATGGCCAATGTTTTAATACCCTTTTGGAATTTTAGYAGAGTCTTGTAAATGATACATTAGGCAACAAAGTTAAATTGCTTTAATAATTGTTTACTTTTTAATAATTAAACTGTTTGATAGAGTTTTGGTCTTTTGCCTGTTCTAAGACACAAAATCAACTACAGGAAGAATGCAGATTTTTGTTTCTGCAGTTAACTAATATTTGGACTAAATGCAGTAAATACGTACTGCGTTCTATTTTCCAATACACTTTTGAGCCGCTAATTTCTTTAGGTTTATCTTAATTAAATGCAATGTTAAACCAGCCCCGTTAGTTGCTTTTTCTGGTGCATGACATGAAGTGATGGAACCCGAAATTAGGTGCCTTGCAAGGTTGTAGCTTAATTGTAAATTTAGGGGGACCAGAGCAGAGCGCCAGCAGGGCTGAGCAACTATCTCTTCATGGTGAGACAGCTCTTTTCTGAATTAGGCCCTGTTAGTGTTAAGAGAAAAAATTAACTGTTCCATAAAGTTTTCATGTACAGGTTTTAGAAAATCTTCCCCAAGTGTAGTGCTTCTGAAATAACATCTGGGCCTATATGTGCAGCACAGAGGTTATATAAGCAAATTAATGTTACACCACAGTGACCATGGTAACATTTAGCAGAGGGAAACCCCGTAAATAGCAGAAGAAAAAAATTACTTGCAATAGCTCATTGAACAAATCAGTAGAAAATTGGGTTATTTTCACTTGGTTTGCTCTCTCAGCTTTTATATGTCTTGTAGTCACCATTTGCTTTAGCTGTCCTCCCCTTGTACAAACCTTCCCACCTCCAAATCCAAGAAAGGAGGGTAATCCTATCATGTAAAGTGATTTACTGCTCCTAGTGCTGCATTTCCAACACAGGTACCTTTGTATTCCTGCCACTTGAATATCTTTGTGAGATCCAGAATACTACTTACAAAAAGTTGATTTTCAGTGGTGAAGAAGTTCCAAATTTCTTTCTTTATGAAGGCAGAAGAGCTATATTTTCAAGTGTGTGTTGAAGTGGTAGAAAACTAAATGCTCTAAAACTAGACTTGAAACTAATTCAGAGCMTGTCCTGTTTCAGCTGTCAGACAATGAAGCTGTTGAGTGGTTCAGCCTGCTCCATCTCGGCAGAGTATTGGGAATATGCACACTCCAGCAAAGTACATGTAAGAGTGATGTTGTGTCGAGTCTATTAAATGAAATCCCCCACACACCAAAATCATTTCATACCAAAAAAAAAAAAAAAAAAAAAAAGTGACAAATGCCCAAAAACCCGTGTTACCTGGGAGGCTGCAGAAGCCATTGCTAGCTGGCAGGAAGCAATAGGGCTGGCTGAAGCCAGCCGGAGTGACAGAACCTAGTGAGGCTGGAGATTCACCCAGGCTCTGAAGGTCCGAGCTGCATCCATGCAGGGAGGAGGCAGGAGGGAACGCTGTCTGCAAACAGAGCTCGCCCAGCCCGGGGTTTGGTTTCTGCCTCTGCTCAGTGATTGTGTGGTGTCCTTGGCAATGCCTGAGGTTTTGGGGGTTGTTGCTGTTGGTGGGGAGAGCAGCAGCTCTGGGTGAGCACTGGCTCAAGGGTTTCCTCACCCAGGGGAATTCCCAGTCAAGCTGCCCACGCAGCTCTGCAAAACACTCCCTGCAACATCCCTKCAACCCAAGGGTCAGCCCTGGATTTCTCCTTATGGACACCCAAGGATCARTGTCACTTTAGCATGTGTCACAACAGTGCATCAGGAAGTGGATTTGCTGCCAGCCTATTGTGAACCCTTCTGCAAGTCTCATGCAAATGTATTTTCTCTTGCCTARATGAGCTCTTGCTTACCACACGTCTCTGATGTCTTGGCCTGCCACCTTGCAAAGTTCCAAAAACAGAGCAAGGTGCTTCCCAGCAGTGCAGGCTTCACTGAAAACCCGAAACATTGCTCTGAGTTTCTGGGTTCTCAGGCTGCTGAGGAAAAAAAACCTGCTGTTGGAGGCAGTCTGGGTATGATGACAGTGTGATCCTTCCTGTCCGTGTGCCTCAACTAATTCTCTTCCTTCTTCTCAAGTTTGTTCTTCAACACTGTTGTGAAACCCCTGTGGTTTATTAGACGAGTGCAATGGCAATGCCAGAGCTTTAGCATTGTGTAAACATGAGAACAGTGCACCTTCAGTGTTTGGGAACTGATGAAATACCTTTCCCCAGAATTTCATCCTAAAAATATGGCCCAAGAATTAACATCAGAGAGGATATGCCTCTGCATAGTTATCACAGGTTGATGCAGGTTGAATAAATACATTTATCACATCAGTGCACTACTACCTAGACCTCTGGGGGGTCTTTCACATTGTCAGTGTCAGATACAGTGATGGCAACAGTGGCAAGAGCTTTTGTGAAAGGCAGTATTATGATCTGACAGCAAAACCCGYCCTAAGGTGTTCATTAAATTGTTCCAGGCACCGGGACAGCCTATGATTATGTCAAACAGGGGAGCAAATTGTATGCTCTGCTTTCCCGGTATGCACGAACTTCATCTGCAAGGCTGCCTGGGAAGGTTAAACACAGACAGCTTTGTTTAGGAGAACTCCAAACCGGTAGAGCCCATCGCCCCCGAGGGTCACCTGGGGGGGACTGCCTGTGCCAAACGTCCATGCTGATGCGGGAATACTTTCCATAAATGCAGCTGAGAGTGTCCGAGAGGCTCCTTCAGAGGATGTTCCCAGCAGATGCAGTGCTATCTGTAGCTCAGGCTCACATCTGTATTTCGGGAAAGCGGTCCCCGAAACAGAAGCTGGAGTTCCCCAGGAAGCAGCTGCGTGGGGAACTTTGGGCTGCGGCTCCTCCTGCAGGAGGAACCACGTTCCAGGAAGTGCTGGGTTTTGACACTGAAGAGRCCAGGTCTCACAAGAAAAAAGAGCCTGGTGGGGATTCTAGACCGTATATAGAAATTACTCGCC